TTTCGGCCTCGGCGCGAAGCCGGGCTTCTTGCGAGATTTCCTTTCCCTCATCTTCTTCCTTGTCACTATCAGGCTCGATTAAGGGGTCGTCCTCGGGTCTATTGAAAGCAGTAATCGACAGAATTGGCGATCCATCAATCTTTTGATTTTTAACCCTTAGACTTCTGATGTCAACAGAATCCTCAATCTTGCTCCAAGCAGAGTCCTTGTAGATCCAAGTGGTCCTTAGCACGAACCTTGGATGACGAGGTGCAGGTACTCGCAAGGCCTTTGGCCGATGACCAATAATGATCTTTGATGCGGCAATTTCACTGCTAGTGATCCAACCTGGCTTGGCTAAATCTTTAGGCTTGATTGCAATTGGCGGTGCAGAATTGATTGCTTCTTCTATCTCGGAGTCGCTATGGACGACTCTTTCATCCCCGGCCGGTCCTCTCGGACGGCTTTCTACTGGAAACCCGAAGACTCGTCCTCCGCAGGTGCCGCCAGTTCAACCTTGACTGTACCGGCGTTAAACACCTGAGTTCCAGCAGATTTCTGGGAATCATCAGCACTTGCTGGGCTCGCTACCGAGTCATCATTTGAGATCACTGGGACTCTACCCTTCATCTTACACTTGATGACTTTACCATCGGGAGCTATGAAGTATGGAACCTTGCCCGCAGGCCAATGGAAATCATATCCATCGTCCATGCATCTTCTCCCAACAGAACAAACCGGTGGCGTGCTTTCCAGTAGATAGCACTCAATGTTTTGCTTCAGTTCAGGCATCGGGATGTTGGTTGACTTGATTCCCTGAACTGGACCATTAGCTGTAATCAAGTTGACCGGCCTACTAGCGTTTTCGATGGGAGCCTCTGGATAGTAGATAGAGTGATCGTGCCTACTGATCAGATCTTCTTCACTGCCAGTATCGGCGAGGAATTCTAATCCCGCATTAAAGCTAGAGCATGCTGTTCTTTCCACGCTAGAACACAGCTCGCACTTCAACACTGCAACTGGGATCTCACCCTCTTCGCAGTCATCTGTGCACTCGTACTCACAGTGGCTTTCAATCCCATTGAGCATACAGGACATGATCCTGGCAAGCTCGTTCGCTGTTCTTATGGCCGTGCTTAGGTCCTGAACTGGAGGCTTTGGGCAGCTTTCAGCATCCAAGTAACAAACTTCGAAAGTTCGCGGTTTGGTCCTATGCTTCTTACCCTTACCATCCAATGGAATCTCCCGAATGCTTGGCTTCTCCTTGAACCTTAATTTCTTGAACGTTCCTGAAGCATCACCCTTAACGCCTTGCCCATTGGGCACAGCTGCCAGCGCATACGAAATGCAACAAGCTGCCGTGCGTCCGCCAGACTTTTCCTTGCTCTTGGACCTGCCCCTGTGTTTCTTTTCCTTCTTTGCTTTAGGATCCGGGGTCGGGCTCCTAGGCTTTTCATCGTTCTTCGCAGGGGCGGCCTGCTCGGTAGGAGCGGCGTCAGTTGGATTGGGCTTATCTTGATGCAGGAACCTACAGTCTTTGCCTTTGTTGCACTTGCCTTTCTTCCAAAAGGTGCAAATCGCGTTGATCTTCTTCTGAGGCGTTCGATGAGGACTTGGGGATCTTGACTTTGGTTTGTGGAGAAACTTACACTTGTCGCCTCTTGTGCATTTTCCTTTCTGGAAGTCGTAACAAACCTGTTGTGTTTTGGGACTCTGAGATCTAGGCGGTGTTCGTTGGCTCGATCCTTTGCTGCTTGTTCTGGATTTTGAGCTACTTCGGGACATGCTTCTTCCACGGCCTCCTCGCGAAGAGGGGCGACGTTCAGATCCGTACGCTGGGGCCCCGTATCTATCGCCATGCGACTTAGCGATGCGATCACGGTTCTTACGCATCCGTTCTCTAGTTAGATGCTCCCTAATGGCATTGACGAGGAATTCATACGTGTGTACGGGGTTTCCTTCCTTTGCCCTGTCGTACAGCTGAAGATCGTACTTGATGTGGTGGGATTTCCGAATTTCCCTCAGCAAAATGTCCCTCAAGGTAACTTCATCCGGAACATGACTCATTCCAGCAATCACCGACTCGAAGTTGTAAAGGAAGGTAGCCAAGTCGTCCCCAACCAACTTCACTTTTAAAAGGTCTTCTACGCTATAGAGGCTTCCGACTTCTTCATTAGTCTTAAAGTGTTGATGAAACATCCACAATACTTGTCTTCCCCTGACGGCACGTCCTCCTGTGGCCTCTGTTTCTTTGAAGTTTAGGACTTGCCTTGAAATCTCTCCTCTAGCGACTCTGGTAAGTGCAGCCAACAACTTCGTGTCCAATGTTAAGAATTTCCCAGTGTCATGTAAGGACTTGAGGGTAGCCTCTTTATCATATACTTCCTGCACCCAGCGAAATGCCTCATCCGGGCGATCGCTCGCAGCCCGCACAATCTCGCGGACCGAGATCCGCCACGATCGGTAGGTCTCTGGATTAGGGTAATCGGGAAGCTTGATACTTTCGGCTTCTTTCACCTTTGGTTTGCCCTCTTCATCTTCGGTCTTAGGGGTAAGCAAGCGTGCTGCCCTAATCAATGCCTCAGCTCCGAAATCAACATGTGGAACCCCGTCTGGGTCAACAGTCGCCGGCTTACCCGCTTGGGCAGCTTTAGGAGACTTTTCCTTTTGTGGCTCTCTGTTCTCAAACCCAGGTGGTACAGAAGTTCCTTGCGGAGGTTCCTGAGCTTGCGGCGTTCTTCCGAAGATGTCCTTCATATTCTCGGGAATCTCAAATGGATTTGAGAACGGGACAGCAGGATTAGGTCCTGGCTTCGGCGTGGCATGTTGTTTGCCCGCTTCGTCCGCATTGGCTTCCATTCTTAGGGCTCGTTCTGCGGCAGCCAGTTCATCCTGCAGTCTGTCGTTTTGTGCACTCATTTCAGCGATTTCAGTAATGAAACGCCGTTCCATACTCGCTTCGGTTTCTTCAAGAACTTGTTTGAATCGCATTCCAAGAAAATCAAGATGTTGTGCTTTGTTGCGTTCGCTCTCAGCAATCAGAGTAGTTCTGAGCTTGGCGATTTCCGACTGATGTCGTTGTTGGAAAATTGATTCCAGAATGTTCATTTCATTCCTGCATGTTGCAACTTCGTTCAACAAAAACTTTTCCCTTTGGGATGCGTTGAACTCAAATTCCGCAAACTGTGCTTCGCATTCTGCCATCTTCACCTCATGAAGGCGCTCGGCCTGTTCAGCCATGCCAGCCATTCTCACAAGATTATCATGCGATTGTTGGTTCAGAATGCTTGCGTGTCTTCTTTCAGCATCTGCCTCCGTTCGCTCTATTGCCATTCTTTGTTGTTCGGCTGTTTCACCCTGGTTCACAACATTGTACAAGGTATACTGCACGTTTGAGATGTCGACCGTTGGATTTGAGACAAATGGAGATAGGGTAGGACCCACTGGACCGAAGATCCTATCAAGTGCTTGGGATCCTGAGCTCGGTGCCGTAGGGCCCGCGCCAGCTGCTGTGAGTTGTTCATCAAGCAGTCGATCTCTTGTTTCGTCGTCCATCTCGTCCGATGATACTTCGGTTGTTTCTCCCTTTTCAGTAGTGAGCAGGGAGGGCGAAGTGCTCATGTACCAGTGTGAATACCAGTGTAAGAATACCACGGAGACAAAGTCAGCGAATACGGCTGATAACCTATAGAATACACCAAAACCGTTAAGCCATGAGCGGTCGCGCTAACCTTTTACTCAGAGGGCTTGGGCACAATAGTCAGCGGTATATAGTACACAACATGATGACTGTACACGACCATACAAACTCCTACGCAAGCTGCGATGCAAAACTACAGGAGTGACACTACCAGGTAGTCACTGTCGTTGATTTTGAGGATTCTACTGGTGATCACACCATGACGGCATGTATGCGTGAACCCAGAGCCTGAAATCTTCAAGCCTAGAACTCTAGAACCGACAATCCTAAACCACAACCTCATATTCCAAAGCCGTAAACCCCAAAGCCTGAACCCAACCAACCCTATGCCAAAATCCCAGGCCCAAGACCCATCTTTGGCCCATGTCCCAATCCTAACCTCTGCAGCCCGACACCCGAAGAATACCCCGCCAGGCGGCAGTGAGACCTTTCACCAGGTTGCCTTCCTGCTCGAAGTCCTGGGGGAACTTCCCAAAAACACCCGCCGCCGAAGTTCGGCGCGGCTCGAGCTCAAGCCGAGACTTGAGAAGGATATAAAGTTTTTCTGCATGTATGAAGAAAGGCAGGTAGGAAGGTAGGTAGGCAGGGTGGTATGTGCGTTGTGCGTACAAAGGTACATAGTTGTATGTACAGACATACAAACATGGACATGGAGAGTCGTATGTGTGATATCTCAAGCGATAAAGAAGCCCCCGCGACTTCTTGACTTCACCTCCGTCGTGGAATTCGGACTTGAGGGTGCAGGACTAAAGACAGTTTCACATTTGGAAATTTCGGATTTCAGGCCTGAGCGCCATGGGCTTCAGTGTACTCGTGTAACAGTGCTTAGGGATGTAGGTTTGAAGGTCCCGGGAGGGATACCAGGACAGAGGCACAACCTTTCCTGGGAGCCCGGAAATCGTTTTGAAACTCAAACCCCGAAGCCGCCCAATTCCCTCATCTCCATAACCCGAGATTTGAGAACGTATGCAACTAAACCCTAAAACTGAAACCATTTCTGCACCCACAACTTCCGGCATGTAGCTCGGAAGGCAAGAGCAACAGGTTCCGGGTTTAGGTTTCAGGTCCTTGATACTACATTCGGCACGGAAGAGTCTTTGCCCGCACGCGCGACCCGAAAACACCAACCTTCCGCGTATGTTCAGCGCCTGTGCACATGAAGCGCCGTTGAAACTTCAAGCTCCAGCCTAGAGTCTAAAGCCGGTAGACCCGTGTTCCATTGCCAAGAGAGCCTGACCGTGATCTGCCACCCCTCGTCCCACACCTTCCTCTAAACACCTAAACCCTAAATCTGAGAGCAGCCTGACTCCTTGGCAAGGCGCTACTCTACGGCCCGAGACCCTGAACTCTCATCAGTAAGCCCTGCAGCCAAAGGTTCGTGGGCATGCCAGGTCAGGCAAAACTTGAAATCGACTTTGTCGACTCCCTGTCTTGCCATCTCCGCTTTCACCTCGCGCTGTTTAGGTGTAGGGTAAGGGTCGGAAGTTTGGGTTACCTAGATTATCTCGACAGGCGGTCGCTAGGGTGCGGTGTGTTTTGCCTTCTCATTGGGAACAAGGTCTTTTGCCTTCTCATTGGGAACAAGGTCCTTACTGCCTTCGAGAGCTGTTATAAGGTTCGTTGACTGGCAGCTATTTTTTCTCAAGGGCAAGCAAAACGCCTGACACAAGTTTCATCAGGTTCTTGGTAAGGGTCATGCCGTGCCGGGATCCTTCAAGACTCCCGGGGCCTAGCACTGGTAGGTTTATAGCCTTATTCGAAACAACGTTAAGGGCTTGTGAGCATGATGACTTTTATTCATGGAATGAGGGTCTTTACTCAGCACTTCGGCATGTAGAGGGTTTTCCTGCTTTTTTCTTCTTGTGTAATTAGTGATACTGAAGGAATTGAATTGAGTGGGTCATCCAAACTTTCCATGCGGGTTCTGAGCGTTCACTGCAATGTACCTACTTTACGCTCCAGACCACGTAATGGAGGTTTGGGCGTAGGTGTTTCCACCTCTTCCATGGTTCCAGCTTGGCTAGGTGTAAGTTCCGTACCAATATTCTAAACAGGGCCAACGTAACATGGAACACCTCCGACGAACTAACGAAGTAATAGGTCCAGTTGGCTGGAAATGGCTGCTCTCACGACTCATGGTCTGCACAACTCAGAAAAGGCATGAACCAAGCTCTTTCGGCATTCCTCATCTCGAAGCTGAATTGTTTGCGACTCTTTAACCCATTCCGCTCGCGCTCACTCTTTGTTGCTATAACAACTATATAGCTATAGCAAAAAACACCAAATAACGCACGTTTTCGCCACCTCCCTGAAGCTACTATGCAGAGTGTTTCAAAACACCTACTTGAAGAGAGGACTCTAAACAGATCCCTTCCTCAAAACACCATAAACCCCAAACTCCAGCAACACCTAAGCCAGGCTCTCTTCCAGGAATCCTTGGAATGAAGCACTCTTGAGTTATCCTTTGCGAGATCTCGGACTTCCGCTGCACCCTGAAACAATCTGGGCCAGGCGCTGCATTCGCCTTAATCCTCCAGCAGAGTCCCTGACTGATCTCCTTTGCTGAACAGGGGTTTAAAAGGTTGCCAATACTATTTCGGGGGTTCCGTATTATCATTAGGCGTTTTTTGATAGCCCCAGGAATGGGATCCTGAATCAAAGAGATTGGGGCTTGGGACGTTCAAGTTCAGCGCTCTTCAGCTCGAGTAATGCCTGAAGGCCCCCGAACGCCTGCGAAATCCTCAAACACCCAATCCTGATCCCGAAATTACTTACCACCATAGTTGAGTATGCATGCTACCATCAGGTGCTGGAGGAGCGGACCTCGTGGTTCGGGTATTCGGAATGGAATGAAAGAGAAAGATTCGGGAACACTGTAGTATTATTGTTATCATTATTGTTATTACTGTTATTATTGTTGTCAGTAGTAGCAGTAGTAGTAGTATTATTATTATTATTATTATTATTAGTAGTAGTAGTAGTAGTAGTAGTAGTGCAGCAACAACAAAAGAATAACGTGAAGACGTACAATAGTGAACAGGTCAGTGTACCTGAGTATATGTGTATGCACACAATGACTCACACTTGTTAGTCTTCGCCACCATCCCCCAAACTCCAGGCTGCCATACCTGTGAACATCACCCCCCTAAGCCCTGCAGGCGCACAAACACATCCAACGCTGTACAGAACCGTCAACAACCTCTGGACAGGCGAACTCCTGCTGATATAGTATAATAACCCTAGAAAAACCGATAAAAACTGAAAGCATTAATGGTGATCCCTGACACATGGCCACCTCTCGGGATCTTCAGACACAGAATTGCTCTGCGAAGGAAGCGCGGCGGGCAGCAGAGTGTATTCATCAGCGCTCTACCTTCTGCCTTCCCCGAGGCCCAAGACGCCATAGGGAGTCCTTACGAAGCCTGAAAGCTGAAAGCCCAAAGCCTTGCAGAGCCCCTATGAAAGCATGCTCAGACATTTCTTCTGGAGTACAAAAACATAAACTCTCAGAAAGCCCTTATGGTTATAGTATTTAATATACACCCAAAGCCCTATTCAAAATATTCAGGCGCCCCTTTTTTTTGTGAGAAAGCTTCTTTCGCTTTGCCGAGCCGCAGGCTGAATGAGCCGCGCCTCCTTCGGGAGCTTGGCGTCGCTGCTCAGCGCCTGCAACTACACGCCGTCTTACTCTAGGGGTCTTTTTATGGTTGCATTGTTGTGCTATATTTTGGGGGTTGCTCATTATAGTGACAGTATAGTGGGCCCCAAAAGCATATTCTAATTATTAAGGCCCTATAGTAAGCTTTTTGATGTTTGTGGCCGCGGGGGAAACACCGGTAGCATAGGGGCCATAACGATCGGATGCTGGAGCTATGTTGAGCTATATTTGGACTCTTCCCGAAGATCAGTAGGACTGTAAGGCCCGGAGCGTTCAGAAATTCAGGCTGCAGCCATGGGCGTTTGGGAGGCTCGGGAGGTTTAGGTTGGGCTTGGAACAACTTTGGAGGTATTGGGCTATAAAAAACCGATCTTCCTGCCTGGGTTTCGTTTCAAGATAATTTGGGGTTTAGGGCTGTGGGGAGTTTAGCGTCTAAACTTCTAGGATTCCGAGCTCTCGATTTAAGGGTCGAGGCCTTGGTGCGAAACCAGAATGGAGCAAGCATCCAAGTTCCGAAACTAGCCGGCCCCGATATGCATCCCACAGTTATCGAATCGGCAGGAATACCTTCCGTAGAGCCGTCAGCACCAAAGGGGCTTAACACAACAACCATCAAGCCACTGAGCCGTTCACACCGTATGACGGCTTACCAATTCATGTTCCAAAGGCTGAATGGTGGCACAAAAAATCTCAAACCTTCGTAACAATGCAGCACCCCAAACTCAAACATTAAAGCCGACGTCATAGTGTTCCTTTACTCAGAAGACATCGATGAACCTCCCGTACAAATCAACAAAAAGCAGCGAAAGCCTTCAACCCTAAACTCACCCACCACGCTCCACCCTCCCCTAAACCCTGAACTCTGAATCCCTAAACCGAAACCCTAAATCCCTAAACCCCTAACCCCTCCTCTCCCACCCTCCCCGCCCCGGGCCTGTCGGACCTGACCAGACTCCCAGAAAGCCTCTCAGGGTCCAGGCGTTTCAAAAAAGCGGGCTTTTCATGAATTCCTATTCCTTTAAAGGGTAAAGGGTCCTATACGGGTTACTATAAGGGGTACTGTATTGTGGGGGTGCAATACAGGGGCCTTCATAATTAGAATAGGGTTTTGGGGGTGCATTCTACTACGAATATACAATTAGGAAGCCCCCCTAAAAAATTGCGGCAGTTGCTGTTGGGATTGGCTCAACGCTGCGCGGATAGCGACCGCAGGATGTGCTGTTGAAGCCCTCTTTCCCCGCATGTTGAGGCGCTGTGGCAGAAAGCTAGTCCTGACGACTGGCAGACCCTCATCAAGCTGTTGACTCCAGCAATGCCCAAGCCGCAGAAACGGCAAATGACAGCCTCCAGCTGCAAAAACCTGACAGCCTGATGCATGAAATCTCCAAAGTCAACAGAACATTTCAACTGCAAGTTTTGGCCGCAGGCAGTCTCAGGCCTTGAACCTCGAAGCCCAGGAGGCCTGTTACAAGGAATCCCCGCGCCTTGCACAAGATGTTCTTGTTGTGGAAGCTACCTCGTCTTCAGGGGTTGAGGCTCAGGGCGTACTTGAAGGAAGGCTTGGGGAGGGTGCCTCGCCTGCAACTGTAACGATCCTGTAGAAGGTTCTTACACACCGTAGCCCACGACTCCCAACCCATATCTGCCAATCCAATGCCCTCAAATTCCCAACTCGTAAACCCCAATCCTGAAGCTCTTAACCCCAGAATCCCAAACTCACCATTCTCAAATCCTACCTCTGCATTCCTATGGCCAAGGGTCGATGCAAATGCTGCGCGATCAAACCCAGGGCGACTTTCCTCCGGCTTGGTGGGTTTCCGGGAAGACCGTTGACCAACGAAGTCGAGGGAACAAGGTTTACAATGCTGGGAAGTAGGGTTAGGGTTTAGGGATCACGTAAATAGGGTTTACAGCTTGGGAGTGGTAGGGCGCGCGGCTTTATCAGCGCTCCGGCCTTGGAGCACAGGGTTTTCGTAGCCTCTGCTCCAAGGGAACAAGTACCGATTGTTGTTACCAATGTCATTACTACTGTTACGATTATTACCGTTTTTTACTATGGTTATTGGTGTTATTAGTTTCACTCTTCTCACAGCTGGGAGCCCTTCCCGTCTCCCGAAGCGCCTGTATTCCTGCAGGTCCCCTAGGATCCCGCGGAACCTGAGCAGAAGCGCATGGTTGCGCTGTGCCAGTGCTCTGTGGGTCTTCGTTACGTAGCAGGCGTTTGGGCTCCCAAGATTGGGGGCTTCAAGAATTGTAAGCCTCAGTCTTAAACCTTATGATTTCCCGAAGCCCACATAGAGAATTCATCATGGTCACAACACCTGTAGATACACAACGTGGCCAGATGAACTTGAACGACGTGTTTCCTACTTGGGCGGGTCTCGACCCGTGGATAGCCTGTGTAGGCTAACTTCGGTGAATTAGAGTTCCGTTGCAGCTGAATTAGGTTCTGGGTAGCCGGTCAGAACTCTCAGCAACACAACTTCACTGCAAGGCCACCAAAAGCTAATGACATATTGCACACTCACAGTCTTGTCTTGACCACCCAGACTCACGCAGTAAATCCATGTCTTGCCTCACATTAACCCCCAAACCCTAAACAACCTAACACCGTTGAAGCATCCGAGACACAGTCCCCAAAACTGAGCTCAGAATGGATTTAGGATTCAGGGCCTTGACACTTCATGCAGGGATGCAGTGCCATCGAGACAACTTGAGTCGAGGCGGCTTTCCTAGCCCGGCAAAGTTTCCCTTCACTGCATCGATACCAGTCTCGGTGCTCTAGTCGAGGCGTGTTCTCGTGCTAATGCTCAAAGTATCTCCGGGGCCCATCAATATGTATGCTATACTAGACCCGGAAACCCTGTTCTAAATATTACTAAGGCCCGATTGTAGATAGCTCATTCGTCTGTTTAGCTCTCGCCTACCTGCCCTTCATGGGGGTTGAGGGGTTGCGGCTGAAGGCCTCCGAAACTAGCTAGCTCATTCGTCTGTTTAGCTCTCGCCTACCTGCCCTTCATGGGGGTTGAGGGGTTGCGGCTGAAGGCCCCCGAAACCATCTATCAACAGGTACCCCTACAAGACGATAGAGGAATTGAAACGTATTTCACATTGCCATTTTATATAGATGTGGAGCTTTACATCGAGGCCGTGAAACTCCGAAGTGTCAACCAGCGGTTGCGACTTGTCCGTCCACTCGCCTTTGGCTAACGCCTCCGAATGGATGGGCTTGGTGCAGGAGTTTTTCCGGGAGAATCGGCAGGGAGGTGGTAAGCAGGGATAGTACTCCAGGTGTTTGAGTTCAACGCCTTCTTGTTCTTTCTGCACGACTTACGCCGTGCACTGATCCTCCAAGCTAGAATCCATGTTCAGATGATCAAAAGCTTCAAAATCCGCTGTGCATTAGCTTGACTGCATGGGGTTCTTTGCATCAATTCCTCGTCTTGCTTTGTGCAGGTGCCTGGCCTTCTTCCGTTGCAGTATGATTTGCAGATTAATGTCAACGCCTAAAGCGTTTCAGCCCTCCGGCTGAAAGCCCCAACCCCACCGAACAACTAAACACAAACTCATCTTCAGAAGCCCTCCAATCAAAAAGCCGCGGCTACTACGACAAGAAGGCTTTCTCAAACCGAACCCAGCCTATCCTGTTAGCGTGTCTCCGCCCCTTTGCAGTGGGTGCTGCAGCGCCGCTAGACTTGAGAATGCAAGAACTGAGCACGCCCATCCTCGACCATCGGCTCGCAGAAACTTTCAGAACTGGGTGGCTCATGCGGAGTCACATGCGAAGTGAACCGTAAGGATGAGAACATGACAGCTGCGAATAGGAAGAGCACACCCTGCCTGCGGCAGTTTGTGCGAGATGACGCCGTGCAGCATCAGGTAATACCTTGACATCTCTGGCTATCGTTGGCCTTACCTAATTTGGAGAGACTCTCGCCTTCTGTCTGAACAGCAGCACCGCTGCTCTGTGCTGCATGCAACAGTCTCGAGCCTAAGTCTCCAGGCCTTCGGCTTACTTGAAAAGTTTTGGTGGCAGTCTCTGGTCTCTTTGATACTCCTCGAGACAGGCGCAGAAACGTTGCGCGGGTGGCAGTCTGCCGGCTTCATTGTAAACATTGTAAAGGTTTTATGCAGTTATTAAGGAATAGGAATACTCATCATTGAGGCGCCAGCTGATTCTCGCTTCTGCCACACATTCGCTTCCAGTAGCTGTGGCGAAAGGCTGCTGCATATGGAGTTCAACTGCATGCATGCTGCAGCAAATTACACGAGCCGGAAGAAATATAGTAGGTTTCGCGGAATGGGTCTCGGGGAATTCGTACATGGACTGCCAAGCAGGAGCCATGACAGGTTAGGCCCAGAGCGCTCGGGGCCCATAGGCTGGGTGCATGGACTTGGCTGTGACTCAGGGATGAGTCGTCGGATGTCACAAGAAAGGAAGACCCTTGACTTCCACTAGAAAGGTCAAAGAACCTAAAATGATCAAGAATCAAGACCACACCTCGACCGCAAAATGGTTGGGCATTGGTAGCTTCAGTGGTTCGCGACCTTCGGCAGGCTTTGCTACAATCCCGAGGACTGTGCCTTCGTTATCCATCCTTAGATTGTCAAGCTGGACTTGGAACCCCGAAACCGATCTCGAGAACTAGCCACAAGGCCACAACACCCTGAATTGTGGTCATCCAGGACACAAGCTTGGTGGCAACTTTGCACCCATGATGAGGGAGAAGTCGCCAGGAATTGGTGGCCTCGTTCCGAAGGTCACAGAAGTTAGCTGGGAGTTTTCAGGATTCGGGAAAACCGGCAACCCCACTCACGTTGAGCCACCTTGAAGCCTTGAAGCCCTGACCCCGAAGAATCTAAGGCCCTGCAGTTTCAACCTTTCTCTCCAATTCTATCTAGCCACCTGGGGGGCCGCCTGCCGGGCCGTACTACCCCGACAAGCTTACAACGACAAAGAGGTTGTGCTCGTCGCTGAGATCCCTAACCCCCCAAATAGAGCCTTTTCATTTTAGCTGCCTCTGACGTGCCCAACTAGTGACAAGTTTTGTTCCACTCAGCTGTGAAGTTGACCATCTTCAACCCACTTCAGCCAAGCTGTGCGTTGAACTGGAGGACCCGAACGAAGGGCTCTTCTTTTCTTTTTGGATAAACATGCTGCATGCTGGCTGTTTACCATCCAAACAGACATTCTTTTACTACCTCCGCCCTGGCCTTCAGGCCCGGGCCGCCAAGTCTCTATTCACAATGGTGAACCTGCTTAACAGAACTTTGAAACCTCCGCGTGGTCTTGGCGGTCTGGCCGCCCTCCCCCACTTATCCAAAAAACATCATCTTAGCTTCACTGGGAGGTTTAGTAACTAGAATAGTGGGCTCCAGAACCCGTTGTGAAGGCCATGTCTCGGAATAGGACCACAACATCGAGAAGTTCGAAGTTTCATCAACGCTTCCTGGGACGCCGCCCTTACGGGAATCACAGACGTCATCCAAAGATCACAGAATTCGGCAAGAGCCTTACACGAGAGGCTACATTGACAGGCAAGCCCCCTCAATTCAGGAATTCTCCTCAAGCTTGGGTGTGTTCCACGGAACCTAAGCAAGGAATCGTTTACTAAGGGAGAGTGGAGCTCAATCCCACAGTAACATCCCCAACCGCAGATTGAGACCAGGGACGGAGAACCGCCGGGTCTACAGGCACCAAGCGGCCGAATCGCGTGATCCTGCAAAAGGGTAAGTCTCGAACTTGAACAGGGGCTGATTGAATTAGAATGGCTATGTTGTAATTCTTCCCCTTGCTATGGTCGTTACTATGGAAGGTGACATACTCCGATGGTCATGTCAAAGTGGCCCAAACTTGGATAACCCACAATATGCCATGTGCCACATGCTTTCTTTGGAGCCTGAGGACAAGACATTGTCCAGTTCTGGCAGATTAGACGCGCGACGCCTCGAGGGTCCAGTAGCCAAGTCCCGTGTTCTGAACATACGAACCCCATGGTGTTGCCACACCTGTGGGGTTGTTTGAAGCAAACAAGTGTCAGACGACTCACTTGATTAAAGCGGTTTGCCGAACCACAGAGGCCCGTCGTTCGCGACCCTTGACCCTAAACCCCAAAACCATCCCAAGCCTTTGAGCGTCCCAAAGATCGTTACACTTCCGGACGAAGATTCATGGAATGGCTGGTTCTTTCTTCAGAGGGTGGGCCGGATGAATTCAAACCTCGTGACCAAGAAGCCGACGGGGCAATTACCCTCCTGTCTGGTTCCGAAGAAGAAAAAGCTGTCCGCAGAATCACAACATGAAGGTCTACCCTCATCGAAACTCCAGTGCTCTTATCCTGCGTGGTCATTGCAAGCTGATTGCTCTACAAATCGGCCCAAAGAAATTTGAAAGCTCCCGGATTTGGAAAGCTTGAAGCTGCTTCCGAAAACCTCGACCTCCGGGTCTCTCGGGTTTTCGAGCTACTTGTGGAGTCCTTCCTTATGATCAGGATCGTTGTCAGTATTGACTTCTCCTAGTGAACCCAAAGCTGTTTGCATCAGCCCATGCAGGGCTTGACATTTGCATGCCCCTTGGCTGGGACTCGCCTATCGCACAAGCAGGGCAAAGCCATAACTCCAAAAATCCTACAACAAACTAAGCTTGTCCAAACATCACCCCTGTTGCTTTGAGGCCTGCAGATGGAGGACTGGCGAATTTTGTACCTCGTCGTTGTGAGCGTTTGTGGGATGTGGATTTTGTCGGTTTCGGGTTTAAGGCCCATGGTGTGCGGGGGTGTTAGGGTTGTTCGGGATTGAAGTTCGGCAACGCCCCTTCTCTCTCTCACACAGAATTTCTGGACACGTTGTGGTTGCAATAGAAACGGCATGTGCACACACCCCACACACTCAAGACATTCGTTGAATGCTTGCATAGATGCGTGTAGCTGTTATCGTTTGTAGTAGAAGTAGGTGGTGGTAGTAGTAGTAGTAGGAGCAGTAGTAGTAGAGGTAGTAGTAGAGGTAGTAGTAGTAGTAGTAGTAGTAGTAGTAGTAGTAGTAGTAGTAGTAGTAGTAGTAGTAGTAGTAGTAGTAGTAGTGGCAGTAGAAACCGAAGTAGAAGTAGACCAGTATTAATACTAGGTCCTAGTCGTAGTGGTAGTAGTGGGACTGGTAGTAGCAGAGTAGCAGTGACAGTAGCAGTGCGGTAGCGGGAGCGGTAGTGGTAGGAGCAGAAGAAGCAGCAGCAGCAGCAGAAGCAGAAGCAGTCGCAGCAGTCGCAGCAGCAGCAGCAGTAGCAGCAGCAGCAGTAGCAGCAGCAGCAGCAGGAGCAGCAGTAGCAGCAGCAGCAGTAGTGGCAGTAGTAGCAACATTTAGTAGCCGTAGTAGCAGTACTAGGACAAGCAGCAGGAGCAGGAGTAACAGTAGCCAAGCAGTAGGGGGGTGCAGTAGTCAAAGCTAGTGTGGCTTGACTTCTGGCGCCAACTTTTCGCCGCTCTTATGCTTTGCTGTGGCACAGGTACTGGCAGGCTTCGCCAGATCAGCGCTGCAAGAGGAATCGTTATGAGTGCCAAACAGAGAGCACCCAACTCGTGGGGAAGGTGCCCGGAAAGGAAGATATCGAAGAAGAGGAAGGCACCGAAGAGGAAGATCCCAGGCAGTAGCAGGAGCAAGGACTTGAAGTAGTCCAGCCGTCGACAGGCACACTTTGCCTGCATGGCCCAAGCCAGGCGAAACAGTACGCGGACGAGGATCGGAACCAGACCTAACCAGTAAGACAGGCCCGTGAGCACCTTCAAGATTCCCCAGGGAAACGCTCCAGCCTCCGCGAACTGCATGAAATGCCGCAGCTGATGTGCCGCCACGTCAAGAAAAAACCAAAAGAACACCGGAGAGGCCTCGGCTAAACGCCAGTATGAGATCATGTGGTTGGAAAGCTGATCAACCAGCAAATCACATAAATCGCTTTGGACATGCTGTTCAAACGCTTCGATGCCACCAAACCAAAGATTGATGCACTTCTGCATCACCAGTCGGTCGCACATCATGGGCTCTTCGCTATGGGGTCTTCTGTGCTTTACAGAGCAGCAAAAGCTTTCAGCCGTTGCAACACGGAAGCGTCCGATGTGCTCGCACATGATGGTAACATCACGACAGTACTCACGGACAAGGTGCGCAATATACCAGAAAATTAACCCACAGCAGGCAATTCCAATGAGCTGCACGGAGATCTCGTTGAGAGAATAATCCACCTGAGCCTGAACGGTGTTGTGGGCGAAGTGGAAAGCAAAACCTCCAAGCGAACACGCGAACCAGGCAGCACACATCATGAATCCCAAGATGGTTGGCCGGATGATGATGCACGGCTTCTCGCCTGGAGACCTACTGCGAATGAAGGCGGCTAGCTCGTACACGCACCACAAACGACGAGCCCACGACGGATCCCAAAGCACCAGCAGGATATCGGTGACTTTCAGTATGGCCCCCAAGCTGCAGATGCCCTCCGCTTGGAGTGTGGGATCAGTTTGCGAGATGCATACACGATCGACAAACACCAACTGTTGCGGCCGCCAGAATAGCATCGTCAGCAAATAGGCGAGGCATCCGGTGCTTAAGCACCACCAGCTCTTGCCTGCATCATCCGGAAGCGCCCCCAATCCGAAAGCAATGCAAGCCAAGACCGCTGCTGCTGTGCCCGCCGTGGTGGCGGCTCCGGCTTTGTGGAGGAAGAACAAAGTGGTCACCTTCCCTGAAACAGAACCATGCCAGCTGTGGGACCAAAATGCATGCAAACGAGTTGTGCTTTGGCTCAGATGATAGAAATCACCATGAGCTCTCAGTGGCCTGGCCAGGCTATGAAGTACATTCTGGACACGAGTGCCCCGGACGACCTCAGGCCTGGTAGGCTCCATTTTCGAGATGAACTTTGCTATCAACTCTGCCGCAGCCTCACCTGGACCTTCCTCCGAAGAGCTGGACCACTCTTCAACTTCTACCTGGGCCAGGCTCTTAGTCTTCTCAGCCTCCTCTGAACAGCGGGACCTCTCCAGTGGCACCGCCTCCTGGGGGTCGATGTCATGATCCTTCGTTTCGGGATGTCCCAGTACGTCCGCTGTCGCTTCCATGGTCAACGTGTGCCCTGGCTTCGAAAACACTTTGATCTCCAGGAATCCAGGATCTTAACATGGTACCATGTAAAGCTAACAATGGGAACCCTTGTTGTCTCGCAAACACCATCTAGGACAGGGGCCGTGATCGCTACATCCCAGTGCTGCACGACAAAAATGGACAGAAAGCCATGCGGGAGTTTGGAGAATTTACCATGACTTCTCAACAACCTAGAATCGAAGAAGGTTTGGGATTTGCGGGTTGAGAGTCATCATTGCCAATAGAAGCCTTCGCAGATCTGCATGGGGAGAATTTTGGGCAGTGGGCTTCGGAATGGAGTCGTTGATGTTGATTGACGCTAGCCTTGTTTGCCGTGGAGGCTTCGGAGCAGTGGGGATAAGTTATTCCTTGCCACGGAAGTTATCTGGCCTTACCGGTACTTCCTTTGTGCATGATCTGCTCTCCTTGTCGCTGCAGCTTGGATTACGTGATCCCCTTCACAACAACCCTTATGAGGGTTGAGGAAGTCAAGAAGGCGAGCTCCACTTCCGATCGAGGTGCTAACACCTTGCAGATGCAGTAGCCGTCCGCATGGTCCGTCTTCCTGAGCTTGCTCTCGTTTGCTGTGTTCGGGTTTAGAGAGTCATGTCCTCAAGTCTCTAAATAGGTCTGGTGTACTTCCAGGGCACCCTCCATGCATGTAACCTCGCCTGCGAGCCGCAGGTGAGTATGGAAAAATGCAGGGTGTTTAGCAGTTACGGGCCTGGACTGCGAATGTTTATGGTTCACCTGGAACCCTGGTTGCCTTCACCATGGACTGCTCGACCTTATCTACGACAAGGGAGACGTCCGGAGGGGTGAAACCTTGCAGTGTTGGGGAACATGGGGTGTTCCTCGCAATTTCTGGCACCTTCCCATCTCGGGGGTTATAGCCCTTCCAATTGCAGGTAAAACCGGCACACTGTTGCAAAGGGGTAGGTCCTCGATCGAAAGCAACCAGATTCACCAGATAGGCCAAGCAGGACAAACACGACCATAATGTGAGGACATCGCCACTGGTCGGTGACTTCTTCCAAGCAGCAATTTACTGCACAAGGGTATGGCTGAATAGGTATAGGTCGCACCTGAACTCTGAACCCCAAACTCCAAACCCTTGTTCCATGCAAGATGCATCTCCTCCGTAGGAAATGTCTGCATCCAGTTGATCAGCGGCGCCTGCTTAATAATGTACCTTGGTTCCGAGTGGCTTCCTGCCGTTTCATGGTCTTTAGGTTAATAGTACTATATAGACGCCTTAGCAATGCGCGGTGCCATACTCCAACTTGGGAAGCCCGGGCCCAGGGTAGCTGCACATCGGTTGCTTGTAAAGCTGGTGTTTATGACTAGATATCTCTACATAGCCACTAATGGCATGAACAGTAAAGACAAAGCTAGGGGTCGCTTGTATGCTTCGGCGCGATTTTCATGTCGGAGACGGCTTTGAGGTGGCCTGGTAAGCCACGTAGGATGGCAGTAACCAAGGCCGGTGTACGTGACAGTTTTCGGCACGACCTGGCAATCAAGACCGCCGCTCCGGAAAGAAGGATCTTTACAGGCCTCAGTGTCCTCAACCGGATGTTGAGAGGGCCGCCATGTGAAACACGTCATGAAGACTTAGACAATCGGTAAATGTTACCAACGGCCCTACCTCGAATGGCAGCTTATTACCACATTCGGTCTCAGTTGCACTGCCGCCTCGAAGTTAAACCGGGCTTGCGTAGCAGGCTGAACGGATGGCACGCCGCCCCCGCCTCCGTGATCGGGCTCGGGGAGTTTGGGGTAAAATGGCGAAGGCTGTAGAGGGCGAGTTCCATGCTACAAGTACCCCTGGAAACCTTCTGAAAAAGACTCAAAGAACTCATCCAGCAAACAGATCCAGTAACCCACAAGACGACTCCAGCAATCGCAAACGGTTCCAACGGTCGTTCCCTGGATGACTACTGACTACAGAGCCATCGCCGGTTTTGGGTGTTGGGCCTTCGGATGCTGATTGTGCTTGGCAGACTCTAACGGGTTCATGGTCTGTGTGCAGCTTCTCTTCTTGGGCTTTAGAAGCTTCTCGGGTTCTTGCAGACTTCTTCTAGACTGTAGCACTTTCTGTCGATCCTATGACTACATGTTTCCTGTAAACGAAAACGGGCCTCAAGGGGTTTAGGCTTCAGAGTGTCGGCAGACTTCATATGGGGGTTTCGGTGTAGGTTGACCGTTGCTTTCCGAACCGTTGCGTTTACCTTGAAGGAAGCAAGACGGAGCATTATGTTTCGGGTCTGAGCACACTTTCTGGAACAATGCGAAAGGGACCCCTAAAGTCCCAATTTGTGGTAGATGAGCTATTCGAGATTCATTAATCGCTCATCCCGAAACCCTTGTGACGTAGGTCGGGAGCCCAAGGTAAAGGGCTCAGGGTGTTAGAATGTTGAAGATAAGGAACCCTACTATGAGTTACGATTCAGGCTTCGGCGTCTCCGGGCTCAGGCTCGAGAGCCCCAAGCTCTTAGTGGGCAGGGTTGAAGCGTGACGAAGCCACAAGTGCCGTGCTGAACCGCTCTATCCACCGCCCCAAGCCCAAAGAAGACCTTGCTCTGCAAATCCAAGCTGCCCAAATTGAGGTAAGGGTACGTGAGACAATACTCCGTCCCTGCCAGCATGCAAGCATCGACCTGGTCGTGGCGGTCGCTTGCAACTGCTCATACCTCACTTTCCCGTACCGTTCGTGGACTCCGCGTAAGATTTGTTTCAGCGTTTTGCAGTGGATGGTGTTTTTCACTGGAGTCACCCTCTTTAGGGTCCAAGGCTCTTCGTGGTCAGGGCATAGAGAGCCAGAGAGAGGAGGTGAGTTCAAGTTCTGGGCTCGGGATCCACTCTGGGGGAATTGCTCATTCTTGGATTTCGTGTCGTTGCTTAGCTTTACAGTCTCGGGCGAAAGGCTTTCTTCGGCTGCTCCTAGAGTTCCGCCGAACCGCAAAGTCTAATCTTCACCGCAGTGACCAGTTGCATGGTCCTCTTTGTAGGATCACTCGACTTGGCAAGGCCGGTCTTGAGCCGTCTACGGTTTGCGGGATTCGTACATGTGAGATTATACATACATGTGAGATTATACCATAGCTGTAATAAGGAACCCCGAAACAGTGTCATTATTTGGGCCCCTACATTAGCCGTTGTCTTCTTTTTGGACTCTGGCTCCTTGTGAGCTGCTTGCGATTGCTCCCGAGCGAAAGCGGTTTATGTATAAGATTGCCCCCGGCTACGCGTAATCCATTTTTGTCAAGGGCTTATTGTCCATTACACAGAAACACCGACACGGCGGAAGTTCCGTCGGCTGGGTATGTGCTTTAGGGATCAGGGCATTGGGCTTAGGCCCTTACACCCTTGACCCGTTCGAACCACACCTTCGCTGGGGCGCGTGCGAACTCATCCCAACCTAAGTTCCACTTTGCAAGCACGCTGTCCTCGCGAGAGTGCACATAGCACTGCTCTCAGTGACGGTTCCTTTGAAGTTAACTAGTTATCTAGCTGGAACAAACACCCATATGTTCTGGGGGAGAGTCTCGGAAGGCACGGTGTACTTCTTTGGCACGGAAACGGAAGGCTGTCGAGGCTAAGCCAGAAGAGACCCTCGTTTACAGTCCTCAAAGGCCCACCGAAGAACATAAGGCACCCGAATTTATCAGCTTGAAGGGATTCTTCGGAAGGTCTTTACCTGGCAGCCGTGTGTATGTTGGGCTATGAAGCAGCATGGGGATGTCCATGTTGGTACTTGAGCGGGGGTCTACCGCAACGCAAAGGCAGGAAAAGCGCTTCAAGGGCATGCTGGTCTCACTTACGGACAACCAGGCACCTATCACACTGCTCCTCCGAGTGAGTGCCCTCGACCCCAAGCTTGACTAACCCTGCGAACACCCTAAAGAAACCGAAACGCAAACCTAAAAGCTTTAACCCCTCGAGGCGCCCCCTGCTGCATCTGAAACCTTACTTTGGTTCTGAAGCAGTCACAAACCGTGGATGCACTTCCCCGGGTCCAGATCCACCCAGTCAAAGGTGTTCTGAGGGAAGGTGAGATGGATGATCACACTCTTCACCTGAGCCATGCAAGAAATTCCTGGGACTTCGTTCTAGCATTGCAGGGTTATTGATGGGGATCTTGTGTTCTCATACGAGGGCACAAAGAAAAATCGGGTTCATTCGCCCTAAGGCAATCTGATACATGGGAAATGCCGAGTACAAGTTATTTGCCAAGACGAGGAAACATGTGGCTTTCGCCATCGAAAACCGAAAAGAAAATAAGCGATCTTCCAAAACCTTAACCGTGTCGTGCTGACATCAGGGAAAGTTTGAAGTTCACAAGCATTCCAGCAGCAGCCTCGGTTCGAAGCAATTGAATGGGGCCTTCTACTTCCTCCTGGTGGGTACTGCCGTCTGGTAATGAAGACATGGGAGTCCAAGGAAGCACCACCGGTCTAAAACTCCAACTGTGTTGATCCGAACCTGCTTTCGGGTCCGCAGAGCTCAGGGGGCACTCGAGATATCATCTTCGGCAGCTCAACCTGTGAAGGAGCATCTGCCGCAAAAACTCAACAACCCTCAAACTCTAAACCCTCATGCCAACGATCCTAACCAGGATTCGGAAGCTATCAGCAAAGGAGTTTCAGGCCCATGATGGACCTTGACGTCAGCTCTAACTTCCTGGCTAGTTGATTTGCAGACCACCGCAAATGTTCTCCCGGGTGCCATCTATACCTTGAGGCTCATTACTGGACCCAAAGCATAACAACTACTGATGTAGTATCCCCTCTTCTATCTGCGAAGGCCCGTTCTCCGAATCCCCCCGTCCCCCCTCGCCCCCACCCCCCCCACACCCCACTTGTCTTAAGCTATCCTTCGAGGGGCTCCATAAAGAAGAAGGCCCGGAGGACCGAAAACAGTCCTCTGATCAGCTTGGAGGAATTTAAGGGTTTCGGTTCAGGGTTTTGGGCTTTGGGTTTCGGGTTTGTGTTTTAGGCTTTAGGGCATATACCCGAGGACGTAGTAAGCCGGGCTATATAAGTAAAGTACCTCACATCATAAGTAGGTGTCTAGGCTTTGGGGTTTGGGTCTTGGGGCAGGAGGTTCAGAGCACAAGGACAACTGCGGATAGACTCAAATTAGTCTCGCGGAAGTCTAGGTGGGGATCAGCTGTTGCGTTCTCGATTCCTGCTTCGACTTCGTGCTTTTTGTACCTGGCCCACTAGAGTCTGGGCGCTCTTGGATGGGGATCTTGGCTTGAAGCGTGGACCCCAGTGATTGGTTCAGGGCTCTTCTCCGAACAGCAGTTCTTGGAAGCGGTAATAATCTAGTCAACGGTACATGGATTGGGAACCTAGCACCTTCAGTACAGGCTTGTTAGAGGCCCCGATACTCCAAACCGCACAGTTATTCAAAAATATTGAAGGCCCCGATAGCTATAGCTGTAACAATAGTTTCGGGCCTTGCAAGACATGTGTACCCTTGGTGCCTCGTCTTCCGGGCAGCTGTCCACGGACTGGGGCTGAATTTAGCCGATATAAGGTCAAAGACCTATGACCCCCTAAACTCAGGCCCTCTTGCCCCTGGTGCGCGCCGCAGCGCTTTCAATCAACCTGAAATCTTGCAAGATGCCGGGCTTTGGCCGCCCTCCGTCTTCGCGAACCGAACTAAAGCCAGGTTTCCTGACTCTACACCCAACCAAGAACCAAGTCAAGTCCAGGCTTGAGTCTTACTGCCGAGGCACTCTACGACACCCTGCTCAGCAAAGTGAGCAAGCTGGGCCCCAGCGAAGTAGGGCGCTTGGAAACACTCCTTGCAAAAGGCTCAAAAGCCTAGGGATTTGGAAATAAGGGCGTGTCTAGCTTTTGAACATCTGAGCTTTTGTGTCTTCAAGGCTTTGAAAATTGGTGTTTTGGGGCTCAAGGCTTTGGAGAGATTGCTTCGGGCTGAGCGGGTTTGCCTGACCGTGTTCACCCGAAGAGCCCGCTCGGAACCTTGTCTCGCACATGGGAACACTCTTCAAGAAATGGAGGCTTGAACTGCCACAGACATTGTGTCTTCACTAGACAAGCTACGAGAGCAGCTCCATTATGTTCTCCGGAAAACCCAAACCCTGTCGCGCGAAACTTCGGCGGTGCTTTCCTCAACACGAACTCGGGCCAAGTCAAGTAGCCAATGCGTTCTGACGGTAGACTATTCGTCTTTGTCGCCTTGGTGTTTGTGTACCTTCTTTTGCCTTCTTTTGCTGCAATTAGTCTCATGTGTCTTGGGGTTGTAAGCCCGCTCCTAAATGAGAACTGCTACCTGCTGCTACCTTCCCTACTTTCCGTGGCCGAGCTTCGTAGCCCTTCTGCCTCAAGTGGTGGAAGATGAAATAGACGAAGTCGCCATTGATTCGGCTCGTGGAGACGGCAAAGCACTTCTGCGCCTTGCGTTTCAGGCGTGGCGCTAGGGCTTAGAGTTTCCAGGAGATTTGTGTTTCGGGGTCAGGTTTGCGTGCAGGGAGGGTTGTTTTGAGGATGATGCCACGACTGAGCTTGACTGTTGAAGTTCTTGATGCACTGTCATCTACAATACGATCAGTACTGCGAACACCACGAGTTCCTTGATAGCTCAGTTAATCTCGTTCCGTCAATGTTTCGTGGCTTGTGTTGTTGTTGTTATCGTTGCTGCTACTACTCGGATTGACGGTGCTTGATACCACGGGCTTATTCAGCCACTCCGCACAACACGACCCTGAACTTGTAGTGTCGTAGTGGTCCTCTCGCAAAGTGAAACACCTACAGTCGATTTCGAGGATTCGCCGTAAATTCGTATGCGAGCGGGCTCGAACTTCAACACCGTCACCTGAAATGAAGCACCTTTCATGCTTGTCTGTACGCTGGGCTGCGGGCGTTTTTTCGATGACTGTGATTCCCCCGCCCCCGCTCCAGGCTTCTTCATGCCTGCATGCCTTGCAGTGCCAACTGCTCTCCTCAACTCAGCTGTCCTCAGCCCCCAAATCCCGGAACCCAAATTCTTGCAGCAAAATCTCGATGCCTAAACCAAACCCCAAACCTGAAACCCCTCCCAAACGGTCTTGGGCCAAACCCAAAATCCCAAGCCTTCGCTCTCCAGCACCCGAAACTCCAAGAACCTGAAGCACCGAACAGAGCTCGGCCTGCGACTTCTCCCCTTGTGCCAGGCCTGGGTTTTCGGGGGGTTTCTTCAGGGAGTGGAGACAGCGGGGGACTCGATTAGGATTCTATAACATATATGATATCAGAAGATATATATATATGTACTATTGTTGAATTCTATTATCAAATGATGCTACCTTAGAAGAACCCCAAAGACCTGGAGGTTGGGTATTGGAGAAACACATGTCCAGGTAGCGGCTTCCACAGGTGGAGGGAACAGATAGCTTGACTCTCCACTTTGCACTGCCGGAACATCAAATTGTGGGGTTGGGAAGGGGGGGGGGTGCCGCGGCACGGGGCCAGTTTGACTAGAAAGGATTGCTCGTCAGAGCAGGCCCCATTTCGGGGCTGCGGGTGCTTAGAGGATTTTGAGCATTCGGGGTGCAGGGTTGCGCAGTTCACCCTATCAAGCTGCCAAGACCGAGCGGCAATTCCACGCCATGTCCATCTGATGGTCCATGCGGCTAACCTTGGCCGAGCTCGACACAAGCTCCCTCCAGAAGCAACAAACACCCAACGGTTTACAAGCTGACGGGCCCACCAAATCCCTAAACCCGAAACCCGAAAGGCCCCCAGCTTCAGGGGCAAAGCACCGAAGCCCAAGCTTACCTGAGCAAAAGCTGGGTGGGCTGCCCCTCCTGGACACGGGCACAAATCCTAGAAGCCCGAACCCCTGAAACCTACACCCTTACACCCTTAGCCCTTTGTGGCATGGACCTTTAGGGTCTATTTGGCAATCCTGCTGGGCTTTGTATTTAAACTGCAACAACACCACGGCGACAAGGACGACGACGACTCGGTTTAGCACGACGACGACTGGGTTCAACACGGCGACGACAAGGTCTGGCACGACGGTTACATCGGGAGGCCGAAGCGTGTACAGTGCAAAGGTCTCGACAGGAGTTTAAGGGTCTAGGGTCTTAGCTCCTAACTATGGTTTACCGGGGTCAGTATACTATGGAAGATCTAAGGTTTGGAGTTTATGAGGATTTAGATGGTTTTACGCTCTCACAAGTTCTCCGTGCTGGTTTTAGGGTCTATCACAGTCTATCACAATGTCCTCCCGTCCCTCTCGCGCCGGGAACCATCAAGAATCTGTCTTGTGTATTTCTCGTCCTGTGTCTTTCTCTCATTCCCGTTCCTCTTCCTGCCTATCCACTCTGCCGTTTGTCAAGAAGACACAGAAATTGAAGTCATGACAAAGGAATCGGCATGAAGATGGACGAAGTGAACTCTTCATTCTCTCGTCTCTCCCTTCTCTCCTTCCTTTGATTGATCCTTTTTCTGTTTCTTTTCTTGTCGCCTTCTGCTGTCAATGACAGGGGTAACACGAGGGAGGGGCAAAGGGACGACGTCAGTTCCTCTCGACGTGGTTCGTTTTTTCATTTCCTCTCGCGTTGTCTCTCTTCCGCCTCTCTCTCTCTCTCTCTCTCTCTCTTTCTCGCTCTGTCTTCCTCTCTGCCGCGTCTCGCTCTCTCATCTCTTCTGTCCCCACTCCCTCTTTCCTTGCTCCCTTGCTGGAAGGAATAGAAAACAGAAGCGAAGACATAAGATGGAGGAAGATGGTTGGGAGAAGGAAGGTGGATTCCTCCCTCACTCGGCTCTTTGACTTTCTTTGCCCTTGCCTTCTTTTCTCTGCTCCTATCCTTCTTCACAATTAGAAGGAGAAGCGACAAGAACGGAGAGCTCAGGGAGAGCAAGTGACACTGTTCCTCATAATCTCCTCCTTCATCGTGTTCATTGCGTTGTCCATCTCCCCCTCTCTCTCTCTCTCTCTCTCTCTCTCGCTCTCTCTCTCTCCCTCCATCCTTTCCTCTCTACTTCTGCACATTTACTTTTCCACTTCTCTCGCCTACTACATTATGCTTGATTTGATACTTATCTTCAACTTTCTCTCACTCTCTTTGTCCCATCGCTTGCCCTGTTCCTTCTCCTCCTCCCTTCCCTGCCTCCCGTCCTTCTCCCCTTATCACTCAGAAGGAAGAAGGAAGACTCACAAGGAGAAAGACAAGGGAGTAAGAAAACAGACAAAAGAAACGGAGAGAGAGCCATAAGGGACGAAATACAGAAACAAAGAGAGAAAATATGGGGGAAAGATAATCAAAAAGAGAGACAGAAAGAGGAGGCGATGCATAAAGCAGCCGACAGTGCCTTGACCTCCACGTCTATTCATTCTTTGTTCTTGTCCTATCACACTGTCTCATTGGTGATAAACCAGGAAGAGCTTGTGGAGGGAGACGAGGAAGAAGTGTTCTCCTCTTCACTCACCTTGTGCCCTTCCTCTCCCACCGCTCGCCCGCTCTCCTTTCTTTGATTTTCTTGTCTGGCGGAAAAGTGGGAACCAGGAAGGAAAGTGGACAAGGGAAAGGACGAGATTGAGAAATGACAGAAAGAAGAGAGATACAGAGAGAGCGAGGGAGAGCTTCAAGCCCAGCAGAGGAAGAAGAGAGAGGAAGATAAGAGAAGGGGGCAAGGGGTGGCCAGAAGAAGCGTAAGCCAAAGCTACGTATTGAAAGGGCGGAAGCCCCATTCTCCTCTTCTTCCTCTTTGCTCTCTTGGTTTTCTCTTAGCAAAGGGCACGCATGGAGCTAGGAAAGGGAAGGGGTCACAGCGGATGAGAGAAAGTAGCGGAGAGAGCTGTTCTTCGTCCCTCTCACCTCCTCCTCTCATTCTCCTGATGCTTGCTCATGTCAGAAGGGGTTGGAAAGGAGTGAAGGCTAGGGCATGGACTGAAGCGAGGCAATAGGTGAAAGTGGATAAGAGAAAGTCGGGGGAAGTCGAGTGCGAAAGAAAGAGAAACGAGGAAGACTAGGAAGAAGGACACAGAAGAGGAAGCGAGAGAGGACCAGTGTTGCCGTATCTCAAAGGACTCCGGGCCTCGCGAGGGCTTTGAGGAGGCTTGTAGGCGCCTTCAGGCACTTCCACAACTTTCTGGAGGCCACCAACTTCCTCCCTAAGGGAGCCTCCCGAGGACATGAACACCAAACCGAGTATAAAGAAAGCAGGGGATTGTAGAGAAGCAGAGTGTGGTAAGAAGGAGCAAGGAGAATCAGTTCGCGTCTCGTCATCGTTTCCTCTTTGAATGACCAGAGGAAAGAAAAGGATAAGAAGGAGGAAAGGCTCTGCGAAGACATCAGGAAAGAAGAGCAGACAACAGGAAGGAAGCGGTAAGATGCGGGAAGACGGTTCGGAGAAGAAAGGAGAATTCCTCCTTCGCTCGCCTCTCTTACTTCCTTGCCCTTCGCCTTCTTCCTCTTCTCTTACCCTATTCATCTTCATAAGGAAGGAGAAATGAAAGGAACGGAGAGTTCAGTGCATGCAAAGGGCACTCTTTCTCATCACCTCATCCATCCTCCTTTTCATTGTTCTCTCCAGATCCCTCTTTCTCTCTCCCTCCCTTCCCGTCTACTTCTGCACATTCCCTTTTCCGCTTCTCTCCGCCTATTATGTTCGCTTGGAAAGAATCGCTTGCCCCCTATTCCTTCTCCTCCTGCCTTTCCTGCCTCCCGTCCTTCTCCCTCTATCACTCAGAAGGAAGAAGGACGATTCACAAGAAAGAAGCGTAAGCCAAAGCTACGTAATGAAAGGGCGGAAGCCCCTGTCTACTCTGTTCTTCCTCTTTTCTCTCTTATTTTTCTCTTAGCAAAGGGCACGCATGGAGCTAGGAAAGGGAAGGGGTCAAAGCGGATGAGAGAAAGTAGCGGAGAGAGCTGTTCTTCGTCCCTCTCACCTCCTCCTTTCATTCTCCTGATGCTCGCTCATGTCAGAAGGGGTTGGAAAGGAGTGAAGGCTAGGGCATGGACTGAAGCGAG